GCCCAATTATTTAAGAAATCAATATTGGATATTGGAGGACAACAGGAATCATTCGATCCAATCATGTTATCTTCTATTCCACTTCCTGCCTTATCTCCATCGCATAAGGAATCATTGCTGCTTCCTCCCACTTTAGAAGAGCTGACAATGGTGGTCAAACAACTAAATCCACATAAGGCTCCTGGCCCTGATGGGTTCACCCCTTATTTTTATTAGTATTTTTGGGAGTACATTGGACCAGGCATCTTTGAAAGGACATTGAATTTTTGTCCAAAGAGATAAATAACACAAATTTGGTGTTCATTCTTAAAAACAACCAGCCAGTGGATTTTTCAAGTTTCCAGCCTATCAGCCTATGCAATGTGATCTACAAAATAATAACAAAATGGATGGCCACACGCCTCTAGCCAGTTCTACAAGAGTTGATCTCACCTTTCCAATCAGGATTTCTCAAAGGAAGGTAAATCTCAGACAATATTCTTTTGGTTAGAGAAATTCTTTACAAAATGAAACAGCAAAAAAAAGGTCAGGGTTTCATAGCTCTCAAACTGGACATGTCCATAGCATTTGATCGGATGGGCTGGTCTTTCTTATACCATGTTCTTTAGAAGATGGATATTCCAATCAAATGGTGTAACATGATCTATTAATGCATATCTATTGCCACCTTTTCCATCAAATTGGCAGGGGAATCATATGACCACTTCAAATTGAATCAGGGAGCCCGACAAGGTGATCCCATTTCCCCTTACCTTTTTATCATAGGCATGGAAGTTCTCACACAAATGTTATGCCAAGCCTCTATAATCGGGCAATTTGAAGGAGTGAAAATTAGTCGAAATAATTCCCCCATCACTCCTCCTATTTGCAGATGACTGCATCCTCTTCTATAAGGCAGATGTCAATCAGATTAAGACTCTTGTTAAAATCTTGCAGTCTTTCAAAGCCATATCTGGTAAAAAAATAAATTACTCTAAGTCAAGCATCATTTTCAGCAAGAATGTACCCTGACATCATAGGAAATTCTTCTTTCATATTCTCCATGTAAAGAAACCTGTGCTAGGATCCAATATCTTGGCATTAAAGTTGGCACAGACATCCATCTCTGTGGCTCTCATAAGGAGGTTATTGAAAGGGTAGAGTCGAAAATTGGATCTTGGAGCTCTAAGTTGTTGTCACTAGTGGGTAGAACCACATTAGTTAAATTATTTCTACAAGCAATCCCTGTGTACCTCATGTCAACATCTATTTTACCAAAGTCAACCACCTCATCCCTCGACAAAATGATAAGAACCTTTTGGTGGGGGGATTGCAACAAGAATTCTCATCATACCATTGCTTGCAGGAAGTTATGTTAACCAAAAAATAACAAAAGTTTAGGTTTCAGATCTTTTGGCTCCATGAATCAAGCAATGTTTAATAAACAGGTATGGAGGCTACTAATGGATTACCAAGGTACGCAAATCAAGTCTAGGTATTTTCCAAATACAGTTCACAATGGTGGCAACAAGCCCGTAGGATGGAACTCCTGCTAAGACCCAACTTACTGTGGTCAATCAAGGATGGTACGGCAATATCAGCCGACCACGACCCTTGGATTCCTACACTTCCAGGACTAGTTCCATCGCCAACCTCAACACATCAATCACAACGGCTTGAATTGAAAGTCTCAGAACTACTAAATTTTGATGGATCTTGGAACCTCCTTTGGCTACAAGAATGTTTTCATGCTCCCACTATCCAAAACATACTAGCAGTGACCCCGAAGCCTAGCCAAACTAGTGACCTACTAGCTTGGAAGCCCAATGCTTTAGGCATCTATTCAGTCAAATTGACATATCAATTTTTCTCATCTTTAGGGGCTTCAGTATCCTCCACACATTTTAACTGGAAATTACTATGGAAGCTAAAGGTGCCACACAGATTCCAAATTTTTCTTTTGAAAGTTCTTTGGGATGGTTTGCTCACAAAACATAAGTGCTCGTCTTGGTTAAATGAATAGGACCAATTTTGCGTTTTTTGCAAACTACGGGAAGAAACACTTAATCATCTCCTTTTTCAGTGCCTACTTGCACGAGCTGTTTGGTTCGGTGCCCAGATTGGCTTAAATCCCTCCTACATAGGTCAGGATCCGATTCACACTATCATCATTAGCTGGTTTACAGGCCCGCGCACAATTTTGGGTAAGCAGCAAGTAATAACAAGTTTAGGCAAATTTGCTTTGATCACCAATCATGTATGGGAAGCAAGGAACAAGAAAATATTTGAAAATATTGATCCAATTCCATGCAAGTGGTTAATTTAGCAATGTCCTTCCAATTGGAGCACCCAACAAATGAGGCCAGACCACCTCAACACCAACCACCATCTTCTAGTAACTTACCTTGTTTATTTACTGATGGCTCTTATTATCCAGCTTCAAGTGCTACAGGACGAGCAGGCTTCATAATCCAATATGACACAGAAAGTTACACCATTGTAGAAGGAGGACCTTCATGGGCACACACAAGCTATGGCATTGAAATTCGAGCCATGTTAAGTGGACTACAAACGGCTCTCTCTCATGGTATTACTTTTCTTTTGGTATATACAAACAATGCTTCTTTAGTAGATTTTGCAAGAACAGATCGAGTTGCTTACTGAATTGAACAACTACATAGAAGCCACATGAGACGACTCATTAACTCTTTTAATTATATATATTTTACACATATTGTAAGGCAACAAAACCAGGCAATACACCTTTTTGCTTACTTATCTTGTAAGGGTCAAATCCGAGTTCACTACAACTCGAAACAATCCCTCATGTAACCTTTTCTATATAAATATATCCCTTTTCTCTTTGACAAAAAAAAAATCATTCAAAATAAGGGAATTTAGATTTTTTTCTTTTTCTGTCCGATTCAACGTTAACTGATTTTCAATTGTTAACTAACGTTAATATTAACATAAAGGTGCCGATGTACTTGGTGGGTTCACGCTTTCTGTAAACCCACGGGTTCACAGGATTTAAACTCACATAAGAGATGGTAGTATAATGATTGGCTGAAGCTAGAGGGCTTGCTTGGAATTTAGAACTAAAGTGCTCTAGATTAATTGGCAGAAAATTTGCAAGCCCATACGAGAAGGGGCCTAGGCATAAGATCATTACATGGCATTATTAAAGCATTTAGACTCAAGACGTGGTTTAAAGTGCTTGAAGGTCAAAACATTTGTGCAAAGCTCATTTCAAAATACATCAAGTAAACTCTAGTTCATCAATAGAACGGCTTCATGGTTCCAAGTTTTGGAGAGAAATGGTTGAGGTTAAAACCTTGGCTTTGACTCAGTGGGTAATCGGGTGATTTGTCCTTCTAGCATGATAATTCGATTGACATAATTGGCTTAAGTTACTTGATTAACATTATTAAAGTGGTATTTTTAAATTTTAGGGGGCCATTTCAAACTTGAACAGTGCCGCACAAGCATGCCATTATCTAACGGATTTATTAATAATATCTTCGACGTCGTTTATTTTTGTCTTAAAAATGATGTTTGGTGAAAATGACCTTTTTAAAATCTTTAGGGTCTAAAGTGGTTTTTTTGGCAAAGTTCAATGATTGTCAAAGCTAAAAATCCCACTTAAAATAGAGCACAAAATTTTATAATTATTTAAGCATAAAACAAATTTATTTGAACTTCTTATTTTGTTTTTCTTCCTTCACTCTAGAAACATAATATTAGATTTTTTGATGAATAAAATACTAAACAATCTCAATTCCCCACTTACCATGCAAATAAATGTAGATTGAATGGAACGGGCAAAAAGAATAGAGAAATGAATTGGATCCATGGAATTGTACTTTGCAACATGGACTTGAAGGGTGGAGCTGACCACAGCTTGTTCTAAAACTGTAATGAGAATTTTGGAGGTTTTTTTTTTTGGTCAACTTCCTATTACACGGAATGGACTGTGGGGCTTTGGGTTTGCAAGTTATTGGCGTCCGTGTTCCACTGCTTCACCACCTTCTTGTGCTTGGAGAACCAGAAAACCACAATTAAATTATTGCTTGAATTCGAAAGTTCTGCACGAAGAAATTGCTATGGTACCAGTGTACCACTACTGATTATGATACTGAGATCAGAAAACCAATTGTACATGTGCTTTGATCAAGGGAGGACCAGAAAACATCCATCGGACAGCTTTGACCAGAAACATCCCCCGTAAATTTTGATGAAAATCCATCTAATTGATTACGACTTTTGATCAAAGGGGCTTAGAGGTGTAAATCGGGCCGGGTCACTTGCGGCCTAGCATGGCCTGGCACGGTAGCCCACGGGCCATATTAGGCCTAGCACAATGGTCCGTGCCATGTTGGGCCTAGGGTTTGAAATCCATGGGCCGATATGATACGACACGATTAAACGGGTCGTGTCACCCACGTCCTGCGTGCTGGCACGACCAACACGGCCCATATATACTATTTATATATATTATATATATACATAATATATTATATAAATTATAATTATATAATAATATATAGTATATAATATATTAATAAAATAAACAATTTTTTTCAATTTTATTATACTAATTTATTTAATTATTATATATATAAGCAACTATATACAACAAAATTCATATAAAATTAAATTTTTTATTTTTTTTCAATTTTTTTTAAATAAATAAGTAAAAATAGCTTTGATCCGGTCTATGGCCCAACTTAGACCAAGGCTTAGCCCACGGGCCAGCCTGGCCCACGACACAGGCCCACACAAGCCTGGACTATGGGCCATGCTAGGCCAACCCCCAAAATTTTCACCAAGGACGGCACGGCCCGTAACGACTCACGGGTCAGCCTAGCATGACCCACTTTACACCTCTAAAGGGATGCAGTTTAATACAGTAGCTGCACCACTAAAATGCAAAATGGAGGGGGTGTTTAGTTAATTACGTAAATATAAGGGTGTCTTAGTAAATCACCCCTTTTTATTAAGAACAAAACATTTCAGGAGTCGTAAGTTTTGTAACTTTCAAAATTTGAAAGGGCGCTTCCCCTTCCCAACAGGCGACAGAATTCCTGGGCTCCCTTTCTCTAAGCCCTTAACCTCAAGTCTCCATGGCCAAGCGTAGCGGCAAGATTAACACCTATGAAGAAGCTCGCAAGCAACGGCTCCGAGACAATAAGAAACGCTTTGAGGTTTATTTTTTTCACTCCCTTGATCTGTTATTTTGATATCTCCATCTTCATTTCATGCCTTTATCCCTTCTCAAAAGCATTAGACCACTGTCTAAGTATAGTTTTACAAAAAAAGAAAATCCAGATTATATGGACTGAACTGATAGGCATTGAAAATGCTGAAAAACTTCATAGAAATAATGCCATTAAAAGTTTGGAATGATAAATTATCAGAAACTCGAATCTACTGAAACAATGAGAGTTTTAACTTTTAATGGTGGGCTCTCTGGATTTTTGTATTGAAAGAATCCAATTATTTTGTTTTAGAGGATGCATACAGAGCAGCACTAGATGAGCATCTTTGGGGTTTTATGTCAACCTCGATTGCAGAGGAAAAATCCACAGTCTATCTCCTTTTGGTCCATTTTATTAATCTCCTTGCTTACCTTTTTAATAATTGTTGGTTTTGAAGGATTTGGGGATTTTGAAGATATCCAAAAGCTTATCAGAGATAGCAAGCTCTGAAAATAAGTCACCGGTAAAGTTTGTTGCATTACTTTCTCTTCTTCGATCAGTTATCGAAAGGAAAATTTTACCTTAGCGAAGGTGTGGTGATTATAAGAATTGTAAAAGTTATACATGATCACAAAATGGATTTCATCGGAGGTTTTCTTATTTACTGTGTCAACTCTTTTTTATTTATAAATATCTATCTTTCCCTTTGTTACTATTACTTTGTTGACATCATGTAGCAACGCCAAACAAAAGCCAAACCCAAAAAGAGCCTTGATGGATTGGAGTTAAGGCGCTCTTCACGAGCAAGAAATCCTGTCTCTTCATATTCAGAGGTAAGCATGAATATCACTCAAATTCTCCTAGGAAGAAAAATCAAGGTGAAAAGGGGGTAATAATGAATAGTAGAAAAAAGAGCATTAGGCACTCTGTGTTTTATTGATTGCATGGTTTGACCTGGGTTTGGTAATCAGTTAACTGTCATGACATGACATATTAATACGCCTTTCCTGATATTTCAATCCTCGAAGCTAAATCAAGCGCTCGGATTGCTTCGTTGGATGGATTTATAATATCAATCTAGTACTAGTGTTGCAAGTACTTGGCCTTGCGTCTATTCGAGGTTGGGTATAATGAGAGATTTCGTTGGTGTCTATATCTGTTCTTTCTGATTCCAAGATCTACAACAGATACAGGGTCGTGGTCCTAGCGTTTCTCTTTTATTTTTCAGCATAAGAAAATGCCAATTGGTTTTAATACGTGCCCACCCCTCAAAACAATACCACACCGTATATTGATCTCTTTGCTTCTTAGGTGCCATCTATGCATTTTGCTTGTACGTACAATCAAAATACTGCTATGACGATATAACATTTGTCTCTTTGCACTTTCTTAGCATTAATTCTTGGTTTGGCTACTTTGCTCATGACTTGGTTCAAAACAAACCCAAGTGTTAGAGGTTTCTATTTTCCGAAATTTGTTTTACTTATATCAGGTCGGCGATGTCACTCCAAATTTGCGTAAGAGATCAAGGTCAAATTCTTGGAAGAGGTTTGGCTTCTTGCTCAATGATTTCTGTCTATTAATTTGATTTTTGGTGGTTTCTTTACACCTTGCTAAATCCAACTTAATTTCAGCTACCTCGCTAGACCTTTTGATGAAGTAAAAATGGCATCGTATGAGGAACGATTCCATGCTATTGAAAGTGCAGAAAAGATTCGAACTAATTTGCCATCTGGAAATCCATCTTTTGTTAAATCCATGGTTCGGTCTCATGTGTATAGCTGCTTTTGGCTGGTGAGTTTTTGCTATATATATATATATACATAATGTATGGTTAAAGTTTATTTTTGGATGGTACATGTGAGACTACTTTTACTAAATTGTTGCTTAAATCTGATATAATCATTAGGGTCTTCCGTCAAGTTTTTGCAAGAATCATCTTCCCACTAAGGAGCTGAAGATGGTATTGGAGGATGAGAAAGGCTCAGAGTATGACGCTATCTACATTGGAAGTAGATCAGGCCTTAGTGGTGGGKGGAGAGGTTTTGCATTGGATCATAAATTGGATGACGGGGATGCTTTGGTCTTTGAATTGATTGAGCCAACAAGATTCAAGGCAAGACCCTATCAAATATATTCGTTCAAAAATGATTATGCTTGCCATTTGGTTTTTGCTCGGTTACTTTTCTTGAGTTACTTGGTAGCTTTCTTGGTTTAATAGAACAGTGTATTGTCAAAAGGCAAAAACGTTATTCTCTTGAAAATAATAATGCATGGAATAAAATGATGCTGGTAACTTAACAACCATTGTAGTTGTTGCGAAATATAGAGGGAGAAAAGAATATTTTCTTTATTGATGATACAAAACATATTGAGAATACATCTTAAATAAGAAAAGATAGGAGAGACAAACTCCTAGAATTTCTCTCAATCAGGGATTGATTAAATCTTTTCCTTAATCGTAGGATCTGACTTTCCTAAATTTATTCAAATATAATATTTTCTAAATTTATTCAAATCTCAAATCATATTTTTCTTAATTTGCCGCAAATCCTGTCTTTCTTAATTTGCCGATACTCCCCCTCAATTTGGTGCAAAGATATCTATCATGCCCAACTTGCTAACTTGAAGTTCAAATGGCTGTCTCAACAAGCCCTTAGTTAAAATATCTGCAACTTGCTGTGTGGTTGGTACAAACGGAGTGCAGATTATTCCTCCTTCAAGCTCTTCCTTTATAAAGTGTCTATCAATCTCAACTTGTTTAGTCCTATCATGTAGAACCGGATTCTGAGCATAGCTGCCTTGTTATCACAATACAGTTTCATAAGAAAGCTCATTGGTATCTTGAGATCTACCAGCACCCTCTTTAGCCAAAGAACCTCACACACTCCTTGAGCCATTGATCTGAATTCAGCCTCAACACTATTTCTAGCAACTACACTTTGCTTCTTGCTTCTCCAAGTAACTAAATTGCCCCAAAGAAACGTGCAATACCTCGAAGTTGACATTCTATCAGTGATCGAGCCTGCCCAGTCCGCATCTGTATATACCTCAACCCCTCTCTTCTCATTTTTCTTGAAAAATAGTCCTTTTCCTAGTGTGCCTTTTAGGTACTTAAGAATTCGATACATAGCTTCAAGATGTTCTTCATACGGGGAGTGCATAAATTGATTCACCATGCTCATGGCGAAGACAATATCAGGACGTGTATGTGACAAGTAAATCAATCTTCCTACCAACCTTTGGTATCTTCTTGTATCTACCGGAACCCCATCTTTAACTTCTCCAAGTTTAGTATAAACTTCTATTGGAGTGTCTGAAGGTTTGCATCCACTCATTCCAGTTTCTTTCAAGAGATCTAAAATATATTTTCGTTGCAAAACCACAATGCCCTTTTTTAATCTTGCCACTTCCATTACAAGAAAGTACCTTAGCTGGCCTAAGTCTTTAATCTCGAATTCCTTGGCTAGGCTCTGCTTTAGTCTGCTCATCTCTTCAATATCATCTCCAGTCAAGATTATGTCATCAACATAGACAATCAGAACTGAAACCTTGTCTTTGGTGGATCTTTTTGTGAAAAGAGTATGATCAGATTGTCCTTGACTATATCCTTGACTTTTGACAAACCTTGTGAATCTTTCAAACTAGACTCTAGGAGACTGTTTAAGTCCATATAAAGATTTTTTTAGCTTGCATACCTTAGTTCCAAACTTCTCAGTGAAACCAGGTGGAAGCTTTATATATACTTCTTCTTCCAAGTCTCCATTCAAAAAGGCATTCTTCACATCTAGCTGATTCAGTGGCCAATCAAGATTAGCTGCAACAGATAAGAGTACTCGAATTATATTTAGCTTTGCCACTGGAGAAAAGGTCTCAGAATAGTCTACTCCATATGTTTGAGTAAAGCCTTTCACTACTAGGCGAGCCTTGTATCTCTCCAATGATCCATCTGAGTTGTACTTCAAAGTGAACACCCATTTACAACCGACAACTGTCTTTCCATTCGACAGGTCCACTTTCTCCCAAGTAGCATTCTTTTCCAAAGCTCTCATCTCCTCAAAAACATGTTCTTTCCACTCAGGAACATTTAGAGCCTCTTGGATACTGATAGGAATGGATACACTCGACACTTGTGAAATAAAGGTACAATATGAAGGTGAAATATTTTTGTAAGATACAAAATTTGACAGAGGATGTTTTGTACAAGACCTAACACCCTTCTTGAGAGCAATGGGAAAATCAAGCTGACTGGAAGAATTAGAATTATCTGGAGGAATATTTTTAGGGATTTTTGGAGAATTATCATGAGTTTCATGATCTAACCTTAGATCAGATTCTTGTTGATGCTGTGGAATAGTGCCTCTCCTTTTCTATGCTAGATATTTCCTTGAATATACAAGGCCTTTATATTGTTTCACACGCATCTCTGTAGTTTCAGCTTTTTCATTTTGAGATGGCATCACCAAAGGTTGTTCATTTTCAATATTTAATTCATTTGTTTCCACTAATTTTGTATTTTCTGCCTCGCTTTCTTTTGGTGACTGGTTGTGAGGAATATCATTATGGACAAATTCAAACATTAAATCAGAATCATCTAAAAAACCATTTTCACTAGTGCTGCTCTCCCCCTGAAGATGAGAGTTATTGTAGTATGAGGTTTTTTCAAAGAATGTGACATCCATAGTCACAAACATTCTTTTCAAAATTGGATCAAAGCATTTGTACCCTCTCTGATTAGTGGGATARCCTACAAAAATACATTTATGTGCTTTTGGATCAAGTTTTGAAYGTTTRGGATCATGGTTATGAACAAAGGCCACACTTCCAAAAATTTTTAAGGGAATGTTTGTCACTAGCCGAGAGTTTGGAAAACAACCAATGAAAACCTGTATGGGTGTTTTAAAATCCAAAATTCGTGTAGGCATTCTGTTAATCAAATAAGTGATTGTTAAAACGGCTTCTCCCCAAAGATACTTAGGAACCTTAGTTTGAAAACTTAAGGCTCTAACAACTTCAAAGAGATGTTTGTTTTTCCTTTCAGCCACCTCATTTTGTTGAGGTGTATTATTACACGAACTTTGGTGTACAATTCATTTCTCAGCAAAAAAATTCCCTAACACATTGTTAAAAAATTCATTTCCATTATCACTTCGAAAAATTTTAATCTGAATATGAAATTGTGTTTAAACCATGTTATAGAAATTTTTGAACACAATTTCAGCATCGGATTTCTCTTTTAAAAGGAAAACCCAAGTTACCCTAGTATGATCATCAATAAAAGTAATGAACCAACGTTTTCCAGAAAGAGTTGTTACTCTAGAAGGGCCCCAAACATCACTGTGAATCATGGTAAATGGTTTTTATTTTTTATATGGTTGAGACTGAAAAACAGCACGATGATGTTTTGCTAATTCACAAGATTCACACTTGAAAACTGAATGATTTTTATTCATGAATTACTTGGGAAATAGATGCTTTAAATATTAAAAGCTATGATGACCTAATCGATAATGCCATAACAAAACATCACTGTCACTAGAAACAGAGATAGAGCTGAAACAAGTCTGTTGGTCTTGCCTTCCAAAGGTAGATCATTTATTAAAGAGGTAGAGACCACCATCCTATTTAGCACCCCCAATCATTTTCCCCGAGGTTAAATCCTGAAATTCACAACAAGAAGACCAAAAATTAACTTGACAATTATGATCAAAGGTAAGTTTGTTGACTGATAAGAGATTGTATGATAGGTTAGGAACATGCTGAACATCTTTGAGGTTTAGAGAAGGAGAAATAGATACAGTTCCTTTCCCAACAATAGTAGCAAAGGAACCATCTGCAATCTTAACCTTTTGATTCCCTGCACAGGGTGTATATGAAGAAAATAATTGTGAAGTGTCGGTCATATGATCAATGGCACCTGAATCTAGTTTCCAGGAACCATTAGATTTGGTACAAGCAATGGCTGCAGTGAAGAAATTACCTGACTGAGCTAATGAACAGGATGGGTTAGAGTTTCTTAACGATTGAGATTGAAACATTTTATATAAGTGCTCTATTTGTTCCTTTGTGAAAGGAAGAGACTCTGAGGATGACTGTTGCCCTAGATCCGAGTTGCTTACTTGAAGTGCACGGACATCTCTCATTGACTTGTTGTCACTACTTGATTTTTTCTTCCAACCCGCCGGTTTCCCGTGTAGCTTCCAGCAGGTTTCCCGAGTATGCCATGGCTTTCTACAATGATCACACCAAGGCCTCTACTTTCCTCCTCGTTTATCTCCGTCTAAGTTTGCACATCGGGCCACTAGAGCGGACCCTTCATTCTCTGTTTTTGTTTCACTAACATTCTTTAACATCACTTGCCGCCGTGCTTCTTCTCTACGCACTTCTGAAAAACTTCTCTTATAGTAGGCAAGGGCTTTCGTCCTAAGATATGTCCCCGAACCTCATCGAGTTCTTTGTTCAAACCAGCCAAGAAGACAAAAACTCGGGTTCTTTCTATCTTCTTTTTGTACCGAGCACTGCCACTGGGACTTTCCCATTCTTCTTCGAATAAATCCAACTCCTGCCAAACAACCATCATCTCATTATAATAGGTTGTTACTTCACGTTTACCTTGTTGCATCTTCCACATTCGGGTATTCAGTTCGAACAGTTGTGAATGATTGTCCAAATCTGAATAGGTTTCTCTAACAGCTTCCCACACATCGCGAGCCGTCGGTAGAAACATGAATGGTTTTCCAACCACTGGATCCATAGAGTTGATCAACCAGGTGATAACCATAGAGTTTTCAGAACGCCACTGCCTGTACTTTGGATCATCAGTGGTTGGTGGTTTCACTTTGCCATTCAAGTAGCCGAGTTTCCCTTTGCCGTCAATCACCAACTGCACAAACTGATACCACTCAAGATAATTTTTTCCATTCAGTTTGTGAATGGTAATTTGAAGGGAATTCTCAGAAAGAGAAATAGTCGCAAGCTGAATACCTCCCTTCGAAGACGTCACACCACTGGTAGCATCCGAAGATGTTGAACCTGAGCCAACCATGGCGGCCTTAAAATTCATGATCGAACCCTATAGCTCTAATACCATGTTGCGAAATATAGAGGAAGAAAATAAGAAGATTTTCTTTATTGATGATACAAAACATATTGAGAATACACCTTAAATAAGAAAAGATAGGAGAGACAAATTCCTAGAATTTCTCTCAATCAGGGATTGACTAAATCTTTCCCTTAATCCTAGGATCTGACTTTCCTAAATTTATTCAAATCTAATATTTCTTAAATTTATTCAAATCTCAAATCATATATTTCTTAATTTGCCGCAAATCCTGCCTTTCTTAATTTGCCGGCAGTAGTATTACATAAAAATTTGTGGGTTATAGAAGAATTGAGTTACAGGAACAGTCCATGTCCTTGTAGAATGCTAAGATTTTCTTTATTGGAAGCTTTCCTACTGTTTCAATATTCCTAAAACAATATTAAATCGATTCTCATATATGGTTGTCCATTTTATTGTCCCTTTGTTTCAGTTATCAATAGGATGTTACTGGTTTTATTGTAGGTTTACATTGTGAAAGCCTCAAGGCAGCCGAAGCAAGAAAACACTGCAGAAATTGATAGAAAAGTTAATTCTAGAGTACACTCACCAAAGAATGCTGTGAAAGTAAATGAGAACGTCTATTCTAAGGCAAAATATTCAAGAAACTTGAAGAAAGCCGAAGAAGTAGATGAGAATGGTGCACAATCTTCTCCCCATAATTTCCAAAAGAAAGAAGTAGCAAAGAAAGTAGGATTTTTCAAGAGTGACAATGAATATGATTCTAGAAAGCTTCAGGCAGAAGATTGGTTAGAGGTTGCTGCAAGTGACAAAGATTCGAGTCCTCGGAGTCTCCAACAAGGTGGTCCTACAAGGCTCTTTAGGAAGAGAGGTCCTTCGACAAAGTTATTTAGAAAAAAAGCTTTTTAGGTAGTTTACTTGTTTTGATAAAAAAGAAGAAAGAAAAGCAAAAGGAGTTTTACTGATTTTTGATACCGGTTGTAAAACCTTACATATTTCTTAACATGGTTGGCAACCATAGCAACTGTCTAATTCCGATATACTGCCTACAAAATCATAGGACACCTTTGGATGTGATTGCCTGACCATTTTCTTATTGTTGAATATGAGGATGTTTGCGTGGTTTGATTCAATTTGGAGAATATATTAGATCAAACCGATAAATTATAGTCTAGAATTTTCTTAGACCAAGTCAAAACCTGTCATTATAGAAATTTAAGTGGGTCAATCATTGGTTTTATCATGGTTTGGTCCAGTTTTTAATATGATTTGAGCCATTCTATTTGGCTTAACCCAATTAAAAAGCTGAATAACATATTGAAACATCTAAATTAAAATCCAATGATGGGAGGAGAAAATGACTAAAATACCATTTTCTTATGTTTATTCCTTTTTTTCCGCCAAATGGTGCTCCCTCTTCGGCTCTTCCCAACATTACAATGCTAACAGTGCTCTCAAACTTCCAGAGCTACTCTGCTTGAGATGAAGAAACAAAATTAAACCCACTAGAAGTTTGCTGCTGTAACAGCAGCTGCAGCCACTACCACGCCATTACCACTTTGCCACAATAGCAACCGCAGTAGCTGTGGAGGTAGCTATGGCGACAGCCCGAGCAGCCGAAGTGGTCTGATTCACTGGGTCTTCTAATTTTGTTAGAGAACATTGCGTTGCTATCGTGATTCAAAGTTCCAAATGGTTTTAAGAGGATGTCTTGTGAGTATAGCAAGGCAAAGAAACAAAATACATGGTCTTTGGTTACAATTTTAGCATTTTGAGGTGAGATAAACATTGATTGACTGATTTAGTTGTGATTGTGAAGACAAGGAAAACACTCAGAGTGCTTAAAGGATTAATGAAGTAGCAAGCTTAACATTTCAAAAAGGCAAAGATAAACCTCTTTTACATGCAAACTTTGGATCCAGTACAGGCTCGAATGTGCAATCAACGTATGAGGCTTTCACAAGAAAGGAGAAAGTCTACCCTTAGTAATAATAATGGGAATCACAACATTTTCAAGATATTGCAAAGAGTAAATCAGTTTTTAAATATACTTATCTAAATTCTATTAAACTTTATGCCAAATAATAAAAATGTTTTGAGTGTCAAATGTGCTCATTTCTAAGTTGAGAGATAGAAGTAGCATTGCCGAGGATTGGGATTGATGACTACCCACATATAACTAAGAAAATAATTGAGCAAAAAGGAAGTTGCTTTAAAATGCGAGAGACCACTGATGCCTTCTTTCATCATGTTCACCTATCTCTCTCTCACTATATTTTATCTCTGTAAATTTGGTGATATCCAATGGAGATCCGGTAGGAATTCATTGATCAAAGCGACAAGCAGCTGTCCTCCATCTAACTTGTCTTCAACTCCACACTTGTACCCTAAGCCCAAATGTTAAAAAAAAGTGCTCCTTACTACCATTTTCTCTACCTTTTTGACTTTTTTTTATACCACTAAAACAAACACATGCACACCATTTACCCAATTTCTAATATGGGCCTTTCCATGTGAATCCCAACATGGGCTTTTTTTATTCTTTTTCTTTTCAAGTAGAAAGAGGCGTGCTATAATGAGAACACTCGCTTGTCATGACAGCAATGAGGTGCCCTCTGAAGCTGACATCTGTAACTAAAGAAGATTGGGAGTTGGGACCTAGCTTCAAATTGGTTCCCCATAAAATTATTCGTTTATCATGTGGATGGGCGGAAGTTACTAGTGGCTTTACAAGGTATTCAGATTGCAAATCAATTTGGTGTGGAGAATTTGGAGACTCTAAAGTTGTTGGGAGTTGGTCGAACTTTGCCATTTGGTGCAATGAGGACATCCTAAAGAAAGCTAGCTAGTTAACAAGAACATGAATGTTAGCTTAGATTGGGTGGGCATATCAGCAAACACTTTTACTGATTATCTTGTCAAACAAGCGGTTATGAGGGAACATCTGTACTGGGCTACTTTGTTATGTTCTTCTTCTAGTGCTTTGATATAATCTTTGCACTTTAAGTAAAGTCGCACCTGGTGCCTCTCTCTAGGTTGCTTGTAAGTGCTCTCATCTTTTGTTGATAAAATTATCTTTCATTATCTGTGAGGGGGGAGGGGGGGAGGTGTAGCGAGGAACCTAAAGGAGGCGGTGAGGAAGTTTGAGTTTGTTTCTAACCTGAAATTTAACCTTAAGAAAAGCTTTGTAGCGGGCATCCACTTGAGGAAGGGCAACAAACTCTGTTGCCGACATCTTAGAGTGCTCCATCCCTTGACCTACCTTGGCTTTCCTTTAGGAGCAAACCCTAAAGAAAGCAGATTATGGAATCCAGTTGTCAAAAGGTGTGCAAAGAAGCTGGCAGAAGTTCTCACCCCGTTTCTTTGGTCCCTTCTACATCTCAGGGAGAGCGGAGAAGTGGCTTACAAATTAGACTTGCCGAGTACTGCCCGCCTCTACCCAGTATTTCATGTCTTGCTTCTCAAGCCTTGTCGAACAAATGCAGCCTTGGTGAAGCCACTATTACCTGAGTTTAGTAGTGAAGGGCAGCTGATTGTTGAGCACAATGTCATCTCAGATATCCGCTGGATAAAGATTGGTTGCAAAGTGGTGAAGCAAGCCCTTATTCAGTGGACGAACCTGCCCGCGCAGAAGATGCCACTTGGGAAGACTTCAGTAAGTTGCAGGAGCAGTTTCCCCATCTTGACCTTGAGGCCAAGGTCATTCTTAAGGGTGGGGGGATGATAGAACCTAAGTAGGTAATTCGCCATCGGGTCACTAGGCCCATGTAGGTCAGGAAAGCCAGGCCCATGTGGGTCGTGAGGTCCATGCAGCAGCAGGAGCGGCACATGCAGAGCATTGCAAGCCTCCCCTGCGATTCCTTTACAACCGCAGGCCACGTCTTAACCACCCACATGCATAAGCGCGTGATCATGATGAGCTGATTAGGAGAAAAGCCTATATAAGGCCTACGGGTAGAACGGAATCAGTAGAAAAAGCATAACCACTTAGTTTTCTCTCTTCTTCTTCTTCATCTTCTCTCTCCCTCTCTCTCTCGTAACTCTGTTTCTGGAGGAAGGAGCTCCCTCGAATAAGCTTCGTCACTTAGAGCCTATCACTGGCTGCCAGGAAGAGAAATTATGTATTATTGGGCGGAAGAATTACTTTGATCAAATCCACTCTTGCCATCCTACCAATTTATATTTGTCAGTTTTTAGGATTCCTCAAAAGGAGGCAAAAAAGTTGAAAAAATCATGAGAGGTTTCCTTTGAGATCCGGGTGATGGATAGAAAGACCATTTGGTTAAATGGGAGGTGACTGAAGGAAAGGGATAGACTGTGGCATGAAGTCATTGCTAGCATACATGGGAGGTTAGGAAATGGTTGGGATGTGGGAGTATCTAACAGGGCTAACAGGGAGTATCTAACAGGGCTACACTGACCTCTCCGTGGAAAGCCATCCACTGCGCCTTGCTTCTTTTACTTCGGTCTATCTGGTATGATGTTTGCTTTGGGATCTCTGTTAAATTTTGGGAGGATACATGGATCGTCTCTTGTCCATTGAAAGATCTTTTTTCTTCTTTGTATTTAGTTTCCTTGTATAAAAAGAGTGTGTTTCGAATTTTATTGTTCTTCTAGTACTCCCTATGGGCCTCAATTGGGATTTTGCTTTCTGCAGAGGTCTAAGAGATAGTGTAATCTCAGCTTGCTCAGATCTGTTACAAATCCTTCAAAATGTTAGTTTGGACCTTGAGAAGTCTGAAAAGCATATTTGGGCTCCCCACCCTAAGGGTTTGTTCTCTTGTGCCTCTTTGTTCAAGACTCTTTGCATTCCGTCGGATCATCCTTCTTTTCCCTTTAAAGAGTTCTGGTGTAGATCCATTTCACCTAAAGTGAGAGCTTTGTGTTGGGAAGTAGTACATGGGAAGTTAAACACCTTGGATATGTTACAAAAGAGAAGGCCTAATTCTTGTCTCTCCTAACTGGTGTATCTTATGTAAATCCAATACTGAGAGTTGCTATCACTTGTTGATCTCTTGCCCTTTTGTTGCAGAGATTTGGCTTTGGTTTTTCTCTTTGTTTGTTTGTAGGTGGGTTTCACCATCGGAGGTCAACATGCTTTTCAATCCTTCCATGTTTATGCTGCCAAAAGAAAGGGGAAGGACAATGTGAAGATGTGTTAGAGCAGCCTTGGTGTGGACTATCTGGGAAGAGAGGAATGCTAGAATGTTTTTAGAAAAAAGAGAGGAGCAAAGAAGCTGTTAGGTATTGTGTAATGGTAAGGGTGATCCATTAGATAAAGAGACTGAAATTGTTCTCCCAATTCTCCTTTGGTGATGTTTGGAGGAACTGGGAAGCAATTGCTAGAAGTTCCTCTAGAAAGGAAAGTATAGAGATGCATCGGATACCTCCAATTGAAGATTTTGTGAAACTGAACTTTGACGGGAGCAGTTAAAGTAATCCAGGCCCATCAGGTATTGAAGGGGTATTGAGAGATTAAGAAGGTCAAATTGTAGCATTATTCTCAGGCCCCGTGGGTTTGGGTGACTCTCTCAAAGCAGAGTTTCTTGCAGCAGTACAAGGAGTGCAGATTGCAAATGAGCTACAGCTAGCAAATGTGGTAATGGAAGGGGATTCAAAAGTGATTGTGAGGTGGATTAATGACCCAGACTCTATAATCTGGTGCTACAGGAATGAAATGAAGAAGTTTAATTGTCTCAATAGAATCATCAATCTCCGGATACAATGGGTGAGGAGATCAGCAAACGGGATGGCGGATGTATTGTCTAAGCAAGGGTGAATAAGGATAATTTGTTTTGGGCTCAGTTGTAATTTTTGATTGCTTTTATAGAGAGGTAGCCTCTAGTGCCTCTCTAAGAAAATATGGTGCACTAAGAAAATAAGCTAATAGGTTTTTAGGAACAATTTTATTCCTTTAAGAATTTAGACCTGCATATTCTTTTATACATAAGTGGTGCAGCCGTTCATTCAAGCACACACCTTTCATTGAGCCTTGCACCTGAGGTTCTATGAAGCCCTTGCAATTTAGGTTTTTTTCCTGTTTTCTTTATATGCCCTTGCAATTTAGTTGTGCTCCTTCCTTTTAATACATGTCATATCTTTCAGTGACCCAAACCATATAGATCGTGGGTTCCCTTTACTCTCTATTGTCAAATCTTTCATTATCTCTATTATCCAATTGTTTTGTTTCTGGGTTGGAGTTGGATGTTACATTTAGGTGTGACTTGCATTTCCAAGAGTCTTGATACTATATGTTCCGTTTTTAAAGAGTAAACAGAAAAATTCATTAAAATAAAAGGTGAATACAATCAGCTGCGGGTGTTGAGCCAACACCTGGAGCAACACTGCCCAATTACAGCAGATCAAAAGAAAGAATAAATAAAGAGAGAAACACACACTCCAAAGATCTCCAGAAAAACAAACTCCTAATCCGAAACCCCGACCCTGCAGAAGAAACCCAATGCGAGCTCCCCACCTTTAATCTTCTACTTCAAAGGCTTCTTCTTGACCATCTCCTTCGTCATTCCATGCCTTTCCTTCTTCCCCTATTATGAAATTCTTTAGCCTGTCCTCCTTGCACGTTTCGAAAGCTTCAAATACATGTGTAGCAAACTTCTAACCTCCCCAAAATAACAAACCGGAACTCTTGCCAACTTTGACATCTCTAACAGCTAAACTCTCGATCTCCACAAGACCTCCCTTTTCTCCCTTGGTGACTGGCATACTCATTAAATTTCATTTCTTCCAGACCTCCACCCTCTTCAGTACCCTCTGACCTAACGATTAGCCCTACCCTTTTCTCAGGAATCCCAACTGAATGGGACACCCCCCATCCATCCCTTGAAACTTGGAGCCCCTTCTCTCGACTGTCCTTGATTGGAAGTTGGAACCTTGAATTTCGTTCTCATTTGTCCTTTTCCTTCCCTTTTCTTGTAGACTTCTTTGAATTTTTTGTTGGACCATCCCCAACCAGACCCCCGTTCAATCTTGAATTTGTTACGTGCACTATTTGGAAATTATTTGCAGCTCAGGCTTTCTTCGGTACTTCCAGCTCACCCATGAAGCTATCTAAAATCACACTCCTTTACCAAACTGCCAACAACCACTTCAGCTTTTGAAAAGAGGTTTCTTGCACAAAAGGGCAACTTTTTGCCCTGAATATCAATAAAAGATAGGGAAAAATACGGAAACACACGATGCAGAATTCTGAATTTGGCATCTTGTCCGTGAACTACATCCTGTCCCCCCTTACAACTTGCCCTCTCCCCCTATAAACTACATCCTGTCCATGAATTTGGCATTAATTCACTGTCAGAATGCATTCCCCCTGTAGTTTGGCCCTACTAAATTCTGATATGGGACTAAAAGATAATGTTTTTATAAAATAACCAAAATAAAGTAACTTTTTTTAAAAAATATAAAGGGCAATGACATTGTTCATCGTCTTCCTTCGCCCTCTCCTTCTCTTTCTTCTCTCTCTTGCTTTTCTTACTGAGATTGAAGCTCTGGTGTAACTGTAACATCTGTAATTATTAAGGAAGAAGACCAAGAAAAATGGAATTGACGGGTCTTTATAGCGTTGCAGGAATGATTCTCAAGGAAGCCGGTGGTTGGGTATTTGAAAAGGCATCATCGGCCTAGAACTTGGAAGAAATGCGTTGGAGACTCGAGAATCTACTGTCTACCATCAAAGCTGCAATTCTGAATGCAGAAACAACAAGTCCAACAGACCCTGAGATCATAGATTGGCTGGCCAAGCTTAAAAAACAATTGAAGCGTCAAGTTAGCATCACAACAAAGGTACGCAATAATCTCGCGAGAATAAAGGTACACAGACTCTTCCCCATATCCAAAAGAAAGGTGCGGGACTCAGTTTCACGTTTAATTCCATATAACATTAAGATGGTTCATAGGATCAAGAAAATTGAGAAGAGGTTTGCTAAGATTGCAAACAACAGAAGAAATTTCAGTTTCTCTAATTTCCAGCAGAATTTTAATAATAACAGGAGAAAAAGAGAAAAAGAGAGGACACTCACTCATACGTACCTGCACCCGATGTTACCGGAAGGAGTGAAGAGAAAGAGTATATAATAAAATTGTTGAAGATGCCACGACCAAGAGGTCACCCAGGATCACGGAGAAAGGCTTCCCTTTTGGGTAATTTTCAAACCTCATGAATATGGATGGTCTTGCTGGAAGACTTCTTGAGGAGATGGGTATACCAGTCGCAGAGATTGTCGAATTCAACCGACCAGCTCGCAGTGAAATAACTACGACAGACGTCAGTTATACCAGAGCTTCAGTCTCATTAAGAAGAGCAAGAGAGAGAAGAGAGAGAAGGAGAGGGCGAAGGAGAAGAAGAGGAAGACGATGATCAATGTCTTGCCCTTTCTTGATATTTTTCAGAAAAAGTTATTTTATTTTTGTTATTTTATTAAAAATTTTATCTTTTATTGATATTCAGGGAAAAAGTTGCCGTTTTCTGCCAGAAACCCTTTCAAAAGTCCACTTAGTTTCCTCCTGCTCATAGTTCGGCTTCAGTCCAGGCACTGTCAGTCAAGGCATCACTCGCGCAGCGTAAGAGCGTGCCACGCGTCCTAAAAACGTGTACATGCTTGAAACGTGCGACCTCGACAAGCATATGAGCAGCAACCTCGACATCGCATCGTCCCCTTCAACATCACTCTCGTCGGAGCCTCCGCCGAGAGTGCTGGCGACGTCCCCTTCATTAAAGTCCCCTTCCGACGTCTTGCTTCAACATGCGACGCAGTTTCAACGGTTGCTGAGAACTGTGTCGAAAGCGTCGGAGCAGCAACGGTTGCTGAGAACTGCGTCTTCATCGTCCCCTTCCGACGGTTGCTTCAACCGCCGGACTTTTGACATCGCATATGAGCAGCAACCGGCATCCTCATTGTCCCCTTCCGACACAGTTCTCAGCAACCTCGACAAGCATATGAGCGTCCCCTTGCCTCAACTGATTTGTTTAAGTCTCAGAGCCTCCGCCATTCCCCTGAAATTCTCTCATTGGATCTCAAAAGTTCTTCCTTCTCACGCAACGCTTCCTCCCTCTGCCTCTCACTCTCATCGCGCTTCTTGATTGCCTCATTCGCGAGCACCTTCAAGCGATTGAACGAGGTATGAAGCTCGGATTTTGCATTCTCCGCAGCGTCTCTACCCTTCCGCTCGCGCCCAAGCTCCGAAAGGATCTTCCTAAATCTCTCCACGATCTGTGTGGTAGAGCTGCAATCCGGCATCATTGCCGCAGGAGAAGAAAGTCTAGCTCTTTGATCTCTGCTCAATATTCTCTTTAACGATAGAATCCGACTTCCCGGTGACTTGAACCCCTGGCCTGTTGGCGATCCCAAGCCTACCTCCTCATCCACACCTCTAAATCCTTCGTTTTTCCTTCTAGGCACCTCAATTGAAACACCCGCCAGCTCCAATGGCTTCCTTCGGGACCCTAAAGACGTTGATTCCGCCGGTGCTGAAGGAGGAAGAGGAAGAGGAGAAGAAGAAGAAGACATGCAGGTGCGACTTGTTTCATTTTCATAGTGGTGACACCCTGGGTAAAGTCTAGTTATCGACTCGACTTCTGTCTCGGGAGGTTCGCTCACAGGGATAACGACCTCAACCGGAGTTTCAGTCGCAGGGGCGGGAATATCGGGTTGGACAGGTGCTCGGCAAAGTGGGCAAGTAGAGTGAGAGTGGAACCACATATCTATGCAATCGATATGGAAGCTGTGCTTGCATCTTGGGAGGAGACGACCCTTCTCGTTCTCCTCGAACTCAGATAGGCACACAGCGCATTCCAGTACTTCCTTGTGTGTGTCGGAGGAATAGACGAAGATGGGGAGAGCTTTCAGAACCAATGCGTCAAGACCCCGAGAAACGGTGTAAGCGGAAGCTACGGGGTCGGAGGTGATGAAGACTATGTGGGTCCGGTGTCGGCTGCAGCGGATGTTGTGCCGCCTATGGGACCTTGTGAGTAACCAACGGGCATAGATGTGGAGGCAGAGGATATGAAGCAAGAAAAGGTATGCGAGTCGGTCGCCGGTTGCAAGAAAAGGTCACTAGCCGGTTGAAAGGTAGAACCCTGACGCTGGACGTGAGAGGGAGAGGGAGGATGGGGACTGCAGAGGAGAGAGATGTGGCGGACCGGTCCATGGATGCGAATTCGAGAACCAGCGTGCAGCGTGGGTTCGATTCAATATGAGCGAGAGGGTGGTGAGAGGGAAGCACCTCGTACGTTTTTATGACGCATACTTTTTTAAGGACGCGTGGCGCGTATTCATGCTGCGTGAATGATGCGCACATCAACTCTGCCTGGACTGAAGCCGAACTCCCTGTTGCGCTACTCTCATCCACTTTACCAACATTCTCCTGGTCGCAAACAAACTCCAAACTTCGCTCTTCAACCCTTTCAGCTGCCCCCTACCTCCTCCTTTTAACACACTCCCTTCCCTTGTACCTTCTTCTTTTTCCTCCCATCTCCTCTTCTTTCTCTTTCCACTCTTCAATCCTTGCAGCAACGAAAGAGCCGAAACCCTGCAACCATCCTTCAATGCTGTGTCTTGAAGCTTGACCCAAAAAAGAACTAAAACTTAAGCTCAGAACAAACCCACCTGTTGATATCGCAACACAGCCTCCAAACTCCCCTCGTTATGAGTGCTGAATGTTAGATTTGTATCCCGGCTATCCCTTCCAAGACCCCACATTGGGTAATGGCCTTTTTACTAACAAAATACTATGTTTTGAAAGTTTCTAAAGTTTCTTACATAAAGTGAATTTTGTTGAAGCTGTTGCATTTAGGGTCAGTTTGGTTCGTTTTTTCATGTGGTCTTTCGGCTGTTTATAAGTTAGGAATATCAATTTTAGGTCTATTTTCGTTTGGCTCATCTACTATCAAAAGATAGAATGCTGAAAAGATGCAAAAAGCCTATTTTGGCTGATTTTGGGAAGCCTCAAATGAAATTTATCGTGTTTTATTCTCACACAGAAAGATGTAGAAAGATGCACATCTGCCAAATATGCTTTGAGCCATTCACATCTCCATGCAAAAACTCAATGCGCCTTTTGACTATCAAAACTATCAGAACATCTTCCCAAAAAAGACACACCAAACAGGCTCTTAATTATGAAAAAACACAAAGGAACAAGAAAGTGAAACAATCTTGAACTTGAAGCCTTGAATTTATCTTGTTTTGATGATTCTGTTGTTTCTCAGTCAGTTAATGATTTCTAGTGAATTATTACCGTTATGAAGAGCCTTATAGGGTATATAGCTCTTAGATAAATTTATTTTTGGGTTTTCTTATTAATTTGGGACAGGGATGTTTTGTAATTTTAGGGTTTTTATTGGCTGCCGACCTAAACGGAACACCTGTATAAAAACATTATTAGCTGCTTTAAGAGGAGAAAAAGAAGGTTATTTTATTACTTCAAGCTTAAGAAAGTTGTTTTTTTCTTTCTTTACTCTATTTTCATTCTTTCTCAATCAGTTTGGGTGTTTATCGTATTTTCATTCTCTCAGGCATGGGAATTGACTATTAGGTAGTTGACTGAAGCAATCACTAGGACCAATCTTCAGCCGCCAAGTACTGCCCCAACGCAAGAAGAAACTAGCGGTATCACTGCTGCACCAGCAAGGAGAGAGGATCTAGGGAATTAGTTTCAGCCACAAGTGGTGGTCCAGCCCCAAGAACAACGGCGTTTACAAGCCCTAGCAACAGCCTTTGATTTTAGTGATGAAGAGGAAGATTTTGAAGATGAAAATTAGGGTATGGGAAGGCCAATTAATGCTAGATATCACCCAGAATAAGAAATGATGGTGAGAGGGATTACAAAATGAAGATTGAGTTGGTGACTTTCAATGGACAGTTGCATATTGAAGATTTTCTAGATTGGGTTTGTGAGGTGGAGACATTCTTTGATTTTGCAGAGACAGCAGGAAGTAAGAAGGTGAAATTGGTCTCTTATAAGCTGAAAAAGTGGTGCTGCTGCTTGGCGGAGTCAAATTTAGATGGAGAGAGTTAGAGCTGGAAAGCAACTTATTAAGACATTGCCAAATAAAGCAGTTGTTTCGGGTTCAATTCCTTCCACATGATTATGACTAATACGTGTTCCAATAGTACCAGCATTGTGTGCAAGGTACGCATGGGGTTTGGAAGTATGCAGCTGAATTTTGCAGGCTTTCAGTCTGTAATGAGTTGGCTGAAACTCCATCACAAAAGGCTGCTCGACTTCTTGAGGGTCTCAAAACAAGCATACATGAAAGAGTTGCAGCCAAAGATGTGTGGGATTTGAATGATATAAAGGCTGAAAGACATCTTGAACAATACCCAATTAGACACCAAACTTTGGGAAGAGACTACTTGGGTTAGACATCTAGGGCTGAGACTACTGTTGAGGACAAAGAGGTTGCAAGGGAGTACGAGCACTCACCCTTGAATGCTTCTAAGGCTGGAATGGCCATTGTTCCATTCCATAACACTTTCCAACAAAGAGCCAGCCTATATGGCAACCAATTCAGCTATGAACAGTACAAAGTCAACCTGTCCAGCAAGGTAATCAGCCTAGAAACAACAATCCCTAGAGGAATAAATGCTATAGGTGTGGGGGAAGTGGTCACACTTCTAGCTCTTGCCCACAACCATGAATGGGAGGAGTAATTATGATTGAACAGGTTGAAGACAACACGGATTTTTATTTTTTTTTATGAATAAGTGAAACTGATTCATTATACAAAGAAATTGATTCCTTCCATAGTTATAACAAATGATTCCTTCCCACCCCCTGTTTAGCCATTGTTGATAATGAATAGGTTTTAGGAGATGATGTTCATTTGGTTTTTTCCAAAAGAAAAGAGATCTTTTGGTCTGGTCAAGTGTATTCTTCATGTAGCCAAGCAAGCCATACTTGATGGAGAAGAGAAGAAAATCTTCAAGACATGGTGTAGAATAATAGATATGGTGTGTAACCAAATCATTGATCATAGAGCAGAAGTAAATGCCTTGCCAAATCAATTGTAGAGCATTGGGCTTGCCAACCAGACCTAGCACCGATCCTTTCGTTGCTGGTTGGATGAAGAAGACTAGGTAGATCTATGCTATTGCCAACAGTGCAAGGTGGCCTGCTGTTGCCAAGGATTCATGGAGGAATCTAAGGAGACTAGGTAGATCTATGCTATTGTTGCCGAGGGTGAAGGTCCCCCACCTATTGGTGTGCCCAATGTCGTGAAACCCTTATTTGAAGAGTGAGTCCCAAGGAGCATGAGATACTCCAAGGGTAAGTGGATGAACTTCTAAGGAAAGGAATGGTGCAAATCAATACTAGCCTATGTGCTGTTCCAGCCTTACACCTCATTGTTTTGCCTTACAGCCTAAACAATGGGATTTAGCTCTTGCATAAGCAGAGTTTAGGTGCACTCCTAGACATACTTTAGACTTGGTGCCGCTTCAAAAATTGTTGGGATATTAGTGTTGCCGCAGAGCACTTTGCTGACAAGATCATATCTATTTATGAAGAAATATAGAAGCACCTAGAAGAGGCCAATGCCAAGTATAAGGAAGCAGCTGACCAGGATAGGCGACCAAAAATTTTCCAAGAAGGGGATGAAGTAATGGTATTTTTTTAAGGACCAGTTGCCCACAGGGCAATACAACAAGTTGCAACCAAAGAAGATTGGACCCTACAAGATTGTGAAGAAGATTAATGCCAATGCCTATGTCATAGACCTTCCTACTTCCATGAATATATCTAGAACTTTCGATGCTGTTGATATCTTTGAGTAGCATCCACCCATCTCCAAATAAGACTCGTAAGCGAGTCTTCTTCGAGTGGACTGTTGTAGAGGCTACTGCACACATGACAAATCTAAAAGGAACAAGAAAGTGAATCAGTCTTGTGTCTAATTTTGTTTTAATGATTTCCTGGTTGTTTCTTAGTCAGTTAATGATATCTAGTGGATTCTTACTGTTAGGAAGAGTCTTATTATTTTGGGACATGGGTGTTTTTTGTAATTTAAGGTTTTTATTGGCTGAAGACCTAAACAGAATGCCTATATACGAACATTATTAGCTGCTGTTAAGAGGAGAAAAAGAAGGATATTTTGTTACTTCAAGCTTAAGAATTTTGTTTTTTTTTCCTTCACTATATTTTCTCTGTTTCTCTTGAATTTCCCAATCAGTTTGGGTATTTTTACTGTAAAAATCACTAGAACAGATCTGCTAGACTTGTTTTCCTGCATTATGAGTTCAACCCAAGATCCGTGTTCTAAGCATTAACTGTCTGATGTGGACCCTTCATCCAGTTGGGAAATTGAAGATTGTAGTATCTTTAAAGATTAATTTAACTTTGGGTAGGATTTTTATAAGATCTTTAGTATATTTAGGACTTAGGAGAAGGGCTTCCAATGGAGTCCAGAAATTTCAATAACCAATCTTGCATCAAATCAGATTATTTTAGATTCAGATGATCTGTTTACATAATTGGATCAGATACAGATTTTGTAAGCTGATCACATCCGGTCCGACTAAGATCAGATTCCATTAAAGTTTAGAGTATACATTATTATATAATTGCATGAATAGACATGCATATGAATAATATATTTTATTATATAAAGTCTTTAATTAATGATTTCAGTATATATAGTCTTATATGCACAAGTTAAAATCAGCAACTTTTTTTTTTTACTTTTAAACTCATACTTTATTTTAGAAATAATCACAAGTGGACTCAGATGAAATCTGAAGATTCTGAACCTTATCTAAAATCTGATGGGATCTGAATCTAATCCTAGCTGATTGGATTTTGGTTCAGTTTCGGATTGAGATTTTAAATAACAGGATTGAATTCTGATTTAAATTTTAAATAATCCAACCCAATCCTTGGGGTACTTGGGTTTTTCTTAGAAGATTTCCATTGTAATTGGGAATGAATTGTTATTACCCAATGATATTCCTTAATCTTGAATATCCGGGGGCCCAGGGCCTTAGAAGGGGTAGACAAGTTACTTAACCTATGGCTTTTTTCCCCCTTCTTGTGTGCACAAATTGGCCTCTCCCAT